AGTGTGGAGGACTTTTGCTGGGGGTCTCCCAGACATACGCCAGCTCCCTCGCGGGTTTCCATAGCAACAGATATATAGAGTGAAGGCACGTTCCCTGATGCAACGCAACAATTACAATTCTCTTACTCGCTGTCCCATCCCCCATATTACCACCTCCCTATCCCACCCCTCACTTCATCTTACACCTCTTTAATGCCACACTCACTTACTTTCCCAAAACAAAGAGTGAAAAAAAAAAAAACCTTTTCAATTTTCGTTCCTGTGTATACCACAAAAAAATGCACCACAAATCAATCCTCCATCTGTAGGTGCTTAACTGGTTGTTAATTAGCTGTTTATAGCATATGCCTACTTTAATATATGTTTACACATTATAAGCAATACACTGTATTTACCCACCATGATGATACAGAGCTGTTTGATCTGTTGGCTTTTGTAGAATGTTGTCACAAATATTAAATAATATAATTTGAAAGAAAGAAAGAAAGAAAGAAAGAAAGAAAGAAAGAAAGAAAGAAAGAAAGAAGCTAAAGCGACTAAAATAACAAAAGACTGTTACACTATTTGCTTAAATACTTAAATATTTCTCAGAAAGTATGTGCATGTTGATAAATCGTGCCATATCACTATTGCCCATATCTACATTTTTTATCATTTATTTCACTCATGTTGATCCATCAATATTCAATCAATGAATCAATATTTCGATCGGTGCACACATTCAGAAAGAGAAACTGTTTACATGTATGTCTTTTTGAGGATATAGATGTCGCTTTTTATGATTCAGCGACGCCTGCTGGCAGAACAGTTACATACTGCAGTTGAGACGTCTGATTCATTTTACTGAATCGTTTGGTTTCAAAGAACCGGTTCAAAAATCATCCACCCTCTCCACTCGCCAACCTAAAGTGTGCATTTACGTATTGAGGATCTATTCTGACAGTTTAACTGACACCGTGTTTTGTGCTGGAAATCCTACACTCTCAGAAATAAAGGTACAAAAGCTGTCACTGGGGCAGTACCTGTTTGTACCTAAAGAGTCCATTTTGTTTCATAAAGATACATATTAGTACTTAAAGTTTACATATTAAAACATAATACAGAAGTGTACCTTTTGAGAAAGAACCATCCCGGTAACAGCTTTTGTACCTTTATTTTGAGAGTGTAGGCCTACTTGGGAAAAAAAAGTAATGTTGCTTTTAAATAACAGTCAGCTGCAGTTTAATAGGCTACATGTCATTAGCAGACTTTTTTTTTAAGTTTCCGAAATAAACACATACTAGCCTATTGCCAGTGCCTGTGTCTACCAAAATGGATTTAACATATATCTGTAAAATACATTTGCATTTTTTTAAATCATTTTTGTAACGTCTTATTCCAGTGGATTTAATAACTTAAACGATTCCCTTTTGTGAGTGAGTCGTTCAAAATGTCAACCCGTTTTACTGAACCGTTTGACTCATTCATTAAAAAGATTCGACTCAAAAATAGTGACTCGGGCATCGTTAGCAGAACTACAGCCGACAGAAAGCACGACTTTGCTGGCGGAAATATTGACAGACAAATGTAACATTGTAGAATTTGTCAACACTACCCTGCTTCTTAAAATAAATAGATAAGTAAATAAACCAAAAAATACAAATAGCTAAATAAAACAGGCTACAAAACGATTCTTATGCTATACTGACATCTCTGGATCCATACGACAAAAATCACTTGATTTAAAGGGGTCATATGATGCGATTTCAAGTTTTCCTTTCTCTTTGGAGTGTTACAAGCTGATTGTGCATAGATAAGATCCCTGAAGTTGCAAAGACTAAAGTCTCAAAACCAAAGAGATATTCTTTATCAAAGTCAAGACTCTGCCACGCCCCCCTAAAACGGCTCGTTCTAACATGCCCCCACATATCTACCTCACTATGTGGAAATATTTGCATAATGCCGCCCAAATGTGCATGCAAAGAAAGAAGGCGTGGTTTCAGTAACCGCAGTTAGTGTTGAAGCAGCCATGTCAGGGAGACGCTGTGTGTTTCAGTGCTAAAGCAAAAGCACTTTATTTGGCCTTCCGAAAGTAGATGCATTTAGGAATCTTTAAGATCACTTACAACAGAACAGCAATGCATTTTATGGACGA